TGCTCTATGCGAGCCATTCTAAAGGAGCCAGGGGGTGATTATAAATGAGTCAAAAAGCAGAGACAGGAGCAATTGTCAAACTTTTGGTGTCGATCATTCGATTTCATCCTGGACACTACAGAAAATGGGCTTAAAGTGTAAAAAACCGAACTTCTCCTTTAAACAACTTCACACATTACACATGCTTCACGTAAAATGTTAAGCAGCAAACAAATGAAAAGTACATTTGTGATTAATTGTTATGGTTTATTTCTTTTTATTAACGCACCTATAAACAAGTCAGAGTTAATTGTTCCTATTCAGTATGAAAAATATGGAAGAGAAGAGGTTACTTTTGACCTTACTGCTATTTCTTACTGGCACCAGTAGATTTGTTACATTTCAGTAGTTTATTGTACAACACATTTTTTTGTCTACATGTATGTATACATGTAGACTTCTATCCTTTGCCTACAGTATAAGTCCACTCTTGCTCTTATGTAGCTGGAAAACCTGTACTGATTACACAAGCTGTGATTTTCTGCTATAGAACTGAATCATGTGTGTAAAAATTATGGTACAAAACTCTAAATTCTTTCTAATTATTTATTTTAAATGAATGTGAGAGAAAGCAGAAGCATGCACAGTGGAGAAACTTGAAAACTATATGCTGAAAAGATCTCAGGGTCTCTTTCTGTCAGGCAGTACTGCCACCCTGCAGCCCCTTACTATTATTATTATTATTATTATTATTATTGACAATGTAGAATGAACTAGTCAGGAGGAAAATGAGTTATTGTTTTAAATCACTTAATCTTCACTCCGTACATTTTTCTCTTTTAAATTTTAGAGGAAAATACATTTGACTCCAAAGAAAATATGAAACTAGACAGGTACTGGTTCATGTTGTTGACATCACCTAAATGTAATCTTCTTTCTCAACCGTCCTTTCTGCTGCATGAGTTGTTGTGGAAAACCCCGAGACCCCCCTCCTTTGGGGGTGCTTGGAACATGCAGCTAAAGATGTGTGTGTCGCTTTACTCACTAAAATACTGAATGAGCAGAGAAGAATCAGTGGGGAGACCCTGGCAGCTGTCCAGAGTTATAGTGGCACTAGGCTTTGTTTTAAGCAGTTGTTTAGCAACAGACTGCAGCTAAACTGGCCGTTTCCCACGACTGTGCCCCCACCTACTCTGTGCTGTTTTACTTCTCCTGATCCTTCGACACATTGCCCAGAGTGTCTGTGCCTCTTCTTCCAAAAAGAAGACTATGTGAGCCTGTTTGTTTTTAAAGACTCTGTGGTTATCCAAGTTTAGTAAAAATTGCACAACAGGAAGTCTTGTCTCAGCAGACTGTTGGGGAGTTATAATAATAATAAAGCAGACTAGACAATTAAACTTTGAACATAATGTTAAAATATATTATTTCTTCTAGAAATAGATAATAGGTTTTATGTGAAAATCCAAAGTTTTTCTGTTGGAATTTGGATACTAATCCAGGCCCATACTGAAGACCGCCATCCCTCCTTTCCTTTTTTCTTGAATCAAGAGATATTTTCTCCCAAATGGGGTTTCTGCAGGACAGCATCTGCTCTAACATCTGCTCAAAACCTCCCTATCTATAGTTCCTGTTACAGATGTTTCATTCCAAGTGATATATATTGAGATCTTAGGCTGGTGCTAAAAGTTTTTTTATGTGTTTGGATAAAATAAGTTTATATTTTTCTAATTTTACATCTATTTTCTTTTCACTGACAAAAAAATCATATAATTTAATACCAATTATGTGTGTATTATAAACCATGTTCAATGAAATTCTGTTGGACAACTTTTTGTAACTTTTCTGGCATTTTTTTGTCAGATTTGCAGCGCAGACAAAACGTAATTCTGTTAAGCTGCAAAATATTAATGGAAATTTAGGTTTAAATTTGAGATGCACCAATCCGTTCCCCAGGTCAGATATCAGCTTTAGTTATAGTGATCTACAGTGTGTGTTGGACAATTGCCATATTTCTACTTATATTACATTTTAAATTATGTGTTTGCAGGGCACCCTATATGGAAGTGTTATTTAATTTTTCTACTAATGAACACAATACAGTGTCAATTTTTCACTTTTTTTTTATGTTAAGATCAAGCCTGATTGCTTCACACACGGGCAGATATAATGTTCATTCATTCAACAATAGTATCAGATCAGTATCGGCTGATACACTCAGCCCAGGTATCGCCATCAAACTAGACCAGAAAAAAGTGGATCTACATATGTGAATCTCTAGTTTAAAGTAATTCTATCAATTTTACCAGCATTTTTCTTCTGATACAGAATACCGTATTTTCCCGACTATAAGGCGCACTTAAACGTCTTTTTTTT